AGAGGGGACCAAACTTCTGTAACACGCAGAGAAATGATTTAGAGACTATGCCCCGAGTATACAAAATTTATGTATAGGTAACACTTCCACGGCTTGCTGAACGGCAGTGAAAGTGGAATACCAAGGGATGGCTCACCCGAGTCCTCAGTTGATGACGATAGAATAGATGCCTCATTTCTCCACTATGGAAAAAAGCAAAATAACAGGAGAGTCCGCGGTAGCTGAGTGTTTAGCATTGCGTACTGCCATTAGGAAGACCCGGCTTCAAATCCCTGTGTGACCAACATCCAAAAGTTATAGAAAATTAATTTAAATATAAAATTAAGTAGCGGTCACCCGTCGGCAGGGAATGTCAATCCCTCCGAGTGTATTTCTAACATGAAAATCAAAAGCTCCTCATAAAAAAACCATCGGCCTTTCTGAGGCACTCTAATGTAATGTAATGTATATATAATGGTCTATCGTCTGAGGTATTCAAATATGGCAGCGAAGAACTGACAAGGCTAAAGCATCAGCAACTTGCGTGTGGACTCCGAATCCATGAAAAGCTCGATCCATGATCTTCTCCAGTCACCAGTATAGCTTTGGCCACGAATCCATCCGCAACACCAAAATGAGGAGAGCACCACAGAATCACTCTGGGTTACGGCTGATACTTTGAGCTCAGTAAACATTTGGAAAGTCAAATTTTTTCTCCACGAACAAAAGCTCAAGCCCACAGCTCGCTCATTACTATCGCCTAGCTATGTGTATAGTGCGGCGGTCTGGATGTCGGCCATTGAGTAATCGCTAAGAGAGAAAAATTTTTCAGAAAACTTATGGCCCTTTGCTTATGGCCGAAAGTGACAGCGACAACTTAAGTACGAGTTAAAAGGCGTATTTGACTTAGTTCAACGAACTGAAGGACAGCGGCTTTGCTAGCTGGTTTCTGTAATTCGAAAACACACCAATTTTGAAAGTTTTCGATGCGGAACTCACCGGTGGAAGCAGTAGAAGAGGAAGACTTCAACTTTGCTAGAAAGGTGAAGTTGGAATTGCCTTCACTTTTATTCACTGTCTCAAATCCGTGCTGAACGGCTAAAAGGAGAAAAGACTGACGCTCTGTGATTGACTCGGCTGTAAGGCAAGTTTCAAAAATCAATTTTTCCAATTACGGCCGACTCTCCCCAGGTAAAGTCAACCCTTCCGAGTGAGCAAAAAACAATTTCCAAAAAATCCATCGGAAAAACTTCAAAACGCACTACGCAAATCGGAGGTGAAGTTCAACCAAAAATCGCTTCAATCGAAGTGCCTATCATATATGTACATATGACCCCGTAAGCGAAATCTACGTCAATGAAGGAGGAGATATAAATTTCGTTGTAGTTTACTCCACCCGTCACTCACTACTCACATTGTCAACGTTTCGAGCTTGCAGCATTCGTCAAGCTGCAACTAAATTTACTGGGTTAAGCAAATTGCCTAGGTTGTGGACGGAAATCCCTTCTAACCAAACAGACGTTGAACTGAGGAATTTTTTTTGTTTTTTCCTTCTTCTTTTTTGGTTTTTTTTTGCGATTTTTTTGACTTCGATACACATTCCAGCTGAGATTTTTCATTGCTCTCACTCATTTGCAATTTCATTCCAACGGCCACTTGAAAATCATCTGTCATCACAGCTTTGCTGCATTCCACCTGTGGAAAGTAGTTCTTTGTAATTTCTCTTTTCCTTTCAACGCAACTATTTTTCATGATTTTATGCTTGAAACGTTCAACAAATCCGAAGCCTGCAGTTATTTTAGGAATTTTACGTATTTTATTTACAATTTCTTTTGACAGAATAGTTTTATAATGAAGAAGATAAACTCGTTCCATAGAAAATGTAAGGCTCCAAGTAGTCGTCACGTAGAACGTCGAACTGCTTGCGCAGCTCGGCAGTGTATAGATATTCAGTCTTTAGATTGCTTCTAGTGCTCTGAAAAGAAAAGTTCCTGCAAGTCTAATGAGAGTCCTGGTGGAAACCGGATGGAAACAGCTGAGGTGTTCCAGCATCTCACTCATCCTTGCATTACTACAACTCCTGCATTTATCACTGCCCATCACTGTTAATGCCCATTTTGTGCACATGTGGTCTCTGACCTGTCAAAAAGACCTGTCAAAAAGACCTGTCAAGACTGCGTATGCAAGAAATGGTTGTGTTCTCAGCTCTCTCGCTGCCTTTGCATTGGATCTTGTCGGTTTTGCATGCCTTTATGTCTCTAATCTGTCTTTCAGCTCTTTGAACAATTTCTCTGTAGAGAGACTGGTAAATCATCATTGCAATCTTCTGATTCCCACGATGCTCTAGTGGCTGAGCAGGTGTTTCTCTGTAGCCATCTAAGCCATAATCTTCCTGTTTCTATCAACAATTTGTGCCGTCTGTCTATAAGTCGTCTGAATATAAGTTTAATACGTTTTGGCTTAAGCCAGTTAAGAGCGGCTTTCCTTAGCATGAAGATCTCCATCTGAAAAATATACTTTATACCGGTAGATTGAAAGGTTGACTGAGCTCTAGCTCTTTTTTAGACTCGGTCGTGTAGTTATTGTATTAGAGGGTTGAATGTTTCCGCACCAGTGTGCCCTATCCGAAAATCTTCTTTCCCAGATACAGCTTTAGAACCTATAGTCTGTAGTTCTTCCTTTGTTTATAGAGCTGCGACCGAAAGTTTTAGCGGAAAACTCGACAATCTCACAACGAAATTCGCAGCAATGCTCTTTATCCTCCACGATGGTACCCAACCGGTCGTTGGTGTGGGAACTTAACTGCTTGCTCATCAGCTCTATCCAAGGAAATGAAGTTGATGGACCAAGTGTAGACTAAGTCCGTCAAATTTTGATCTGCGAGCGGGCGGTGACTATGTGCTTTACCCCTACCATGCTAACTGGTTGGTTTGCAGCTGAGAGAGTTAAAAATCAGCCCTATTATAACGGCATCTTCTCCACACCAGTCGTATTAGGATGAAATGTTTGCACTTACTGCGGCATGGGTCACGGCCCTGTTTATATTTTGGCCACGGTGCATGCTTGAATGCAGGCAAGTGACCGACAATACAAAAAAGAAGAAGCAGCCAAGCTGGAAAAATTAAGAAATCGGTCGCCAGAAGTGATTCATCTGCACATCTTTCCATCGGAAAGATTAAGGACAAAGGAGAAACCGTTGAAGAAACAGCGAACACGAGTACAAAGGAAGTGTTTCAAGCCTACCCAAAAGTACTGAAAGGAGAGTGATCCATAATCTGCATTGAGGGCCTTAGACCTCTGTTAAAAAATAAATCCCAAAGTAAAAGACATCAATGCGAAGATTCAAGCATACCAATAGATCGCCGCAAAGACAAGTTTCACCCAGCAGTCACGACAAACAGGATTAACGATGGACTGAGGTGTCCAATTGTAAGTGTCAACACATCTCAGCCGAGATCAAAAATACATCGATTAGCTTAAAGTACTTCAAGGAGGGAGGAGATTAATCTCCAATGAGGGCAATCAGTCAGGCTACCAGTACCAGATAAAGAATCTCGCCTCTAAAGGGCAGTAAAATAAAAAATGCAGAATACAGCGCGTATCAAAAATCTAGGAACTAGAGCTTCTTATTCAAAAGACGTTCCAAGAAGTCAGGGACTCACCGGACAACTTACTAGAAACTGGTAAGCCAGGGCCACACCATAATTTTGAGATGGTTTAATTTACTAGGTTTAATAGACTAGATGGACTGCTGCATAGACCCCAGAGACCTTTGAAGAGGTAACGTGGTAAAAAAGCTGATTTCTTTGAACTTTTGGTATGGGGGCTGAGACGCAGTAACCACCCCGAGCTTGATAGGAAGAACACTTCTCATGTACTTTCACCAACACTGAAAGTTTTGGGTTTGTCCCTCTAAGCCCGGAAGTTCAACGGAACAGAGTTGTTCGTAAGATGGAAGTGACTCAATTGTTGAAGCGTGACCCGGTTAAATGTAATAAACATAGCTGGTCTTGGTAAAATTAAAGTAACAGATCTACCCTTTTGGATATTCCTAGAAGATATTTTCTATTTGGCAGGTAGCAGGGTGATTGGGCCTACCATCTAGACAACTTCTGCGGAAGGTATGAAGGCACGAAGAAGAATCTTAGCTCTCTGGGTATTTCGTTTGCAAATTTCTTTCGTTTCGTAAGAGTCTCCAGCAGTGACATGCTACGGATAATTGAACAAAATATAAACATGTGATTGATATTCTGACACGCCGAAGCGATTCTCAGCCGAGCTCCTTTTCTACTTTTTGACAAAGTTCTTGCTATTTCACGCACAGAAAATTGATTTTTCATAAATTTGATGGCTCGCTTGGATGGAATATAGACCCATAACCTTCGCCATGCTAGAATCCACTAATAACCACTCGACTAATGCGGCCACTTGAGCGAAACGTCGATTGCTAATTTAGCTAAATTGCTAAGTCCACACGTTGGCTTGACCAGCTGGTGGAAGCGTGAGAGAACTTCAGTGGTATGATGTTGAGCCCTTCCGTTGGTCTTCCTAATATCTGACCAAATTTATCTTACTTTTATAATAGAAGGCAATTTTTATGCTTGCGCCAAAATGTAGGCAACGTTATTTCCTCTCTTACTGCTTTTCTACGTACAAAAGTCTCAACATCAAAAAACATAGGTGAACTTAACGAACTCCTAATTGAAACAGCGCCCTTTCGCATCTCTAATATGAGCCTCTTCTAAAGCTGGAACATTGTAATCAAGCTGCATATCAGCTCGGTAGAAAACCGCTTTCTCTCAGTTTAGCTCGAAAATACGCTCACGGACTAGTTTCACGCTGAAGATTTTCAACAAATTATTGTCACACAAAGCACTTTTCTGATTACATAATCATTCCATTCCTTTGCGGACCTGCAGGGAGTTGCAAGAAATGCTGAGTGCAAAAATTAGCTGCAAACTTGCTTTCAAATTCTTAACAAATTTCACCACTTACCAACTCAAACACAAAATTGTACTCACCCGCACTTTTCGCACCGTCTTGCGGCTGTCATTCTTGATGTTCACCGTCACACAGACATCCTCGCCATGCGTATACCAAGCTTTATCGAGGCTCGCTCGCAGCGCAACACGTCCGTCTTGCAAGAGAAATGGTTTATCCACCGAACCTTGCGGTCCAGTCGATACGGCAGCTACATGCACATCAGCTGGTGAGGCGGTTTGTGGGGCCGCAATGCCACCACCACTAATACCATCAACGCCGACAGCACCAGCGCCGGCACCGGCAGTAGCAGCGCAATCATACTATGAGAAGGAGGAGTAGCGGTGGAGCGTTGGATGAGAAGAGCATGTTGACGATGTTGGTTGTTGAGTTGGTGGATAATGAATTCGCATCGTGTTGTCGGTGCAGGAACAGCCAGAGGATGTTGGCATTGCATTGATTGGGGCATTTGCGAGATTTCCATTGAGTAGTTTGTGATTGTTGATGCCGAGGTGGCGTGTTGGGTGTAAGCGAAGAGTAGTTGATGAAAAGAACGGAAACGGATATTCGATTAGTTATTGTGTTGGTATACATATATATATATATATAAATATATGTGTGTTGCTCTTTTGTCGCGTTTTATTTATTTATTGGCTGTCATTTTGCAACATTTGCCGTTAAACTTCAGCTTTACACAGTCCGAAGTCCTCATCTCCAACGTCCACTGTTCAGTAAACAATATTTATTTGCTGACAACAAAAAAGTTCGTTAAGAGTTTGGCTTGGTTTGTGAATTTACTTTATCTTTTATTGGCGGCCACTCTTCCCGTCTTGGTGGCAAATGTTGACTCAACGCGAGCTCTATTAGTCTTTTTGTTGTCCTCTTAAAAATATAAATTTTTTTTCACATTTTCTTTGGCCTCAGCTTTTTGGCAGTTATTTGGAATAGAGTAAATATTTTGAAGAAGATCACCTCCTCTCGGGTTCCTGCATTCTCCTAGATTGAATACTTCTGAGCTCAGCTTTAGTTAATAGACTTCTTCATACCTCATACATTCCACTCCACTGCACTTCTTTTAACCCAACTACTACTGTCAGCTTTCGAGGAAGCCTCCTCCCTAGGGGTCGAATTGTCTGCAAAAATTTTCAAATGGATCGTCACTTAACTCAGTGAACGGAGGAAAGGTGATCTCTTTCACTTGAGTACTGGCTTAGATTGGACAACGTTGGATTGCTTAAGCCTAGAAGCTTTTTCGAAAGGAACAGATAGATGACTGGAATGCAATGTATCACATTTACTTCAAAGAAAGCTGCAGGTAGATTGGAGCTTAGCCTTGAAGACACATGAAAGCGTGGCACGGCTGGAGAACAAATTTAAAAGTCGCACCTCGTACCATCACAGTTGCTGTAAACAAGATCGCAAAACCTTTGTCTCCTTCTCATTAATTGAAGTTGTCCATCAAATGGAAGCTTTTGGATCTGTTATATGATGTGTGCTCTCAACGGAGACTAATTTCACTGTTGCTCGTGATTATCAGTAGAGAATTAAACCCAGAAACCAATGACCTACGATTAATATATGGTTAAGCAAACTTTGTGATAGCACAGAAGAACTAAACCTTTCGAGTGCGGTCCGGTTTCTTAGTCCCTTAACATACAGCTCTACAAGTCACTCGCCATTATTTCTGCTGCACTAGACTTAAGGGTGACCGATGACGACTTCCGCTATGTCGGCTATAAAACAGGGTATGTTGATTTGGGCCCCTTGTCTGGTTGAATTAAAACAATATGGCTTTGAAAGTTTTCAATGTGGCACCCAGCGGTCGAAGCAGTGTAAGGAGAGAACCTCCACTGTGTTCGAGAGATCAAGAGAAGCAGGTTTTGGCTTCACTTCGTATCTATAAGTTGCCGTTATGCGAGAGAAAAAGCGATCCCGTAAGCTTTGTCTAAGTTAATGAAGAAGAAATCGACCAATCGGCTGCATACCCTGCCTTAGTATGATATGAAGGTACAGCAAGTCTAGGAAAATACGTCAAAATGAAATAGAAAAGGAGCACAAGAAATGTACTCCTCGAAAAGGAAAGACATATCCAAGGAAGGAAGAGAACAGAAAGATAAAGAGAAAGACGAAGAGAGGGGTAGAGATATAATGTGAGAGGAAGACAAAGAGAAAAAGAAAGAGGGAAGCGCAGAGAAAGAGAAAGAGAAAAGGAAAGACAAAAAGAAAGAGAAAAATAAAGAGAAAGGGAAAGGTAAGAGGAATAGAAAGAGAAAGATAAATAGGAAGGAAAAGTGAAATAGATAGTGGAAGGGAATTCGCAATATTTTACACAGAGAGAAACTATTTACTATGTCGGCCTTTATTCTAAGCCTGTCGACTTTAATCTTTGTTCGTTTAACGTACATTTAATGATTTTGTCCGAAAAGAAAATGTAGAAGAAGAACTGACAGGTTGAAAAGTTGAGTTTAAATTTTTGTAATTTTTAAGAGAAGACGATTATTTTTATTTCTCTCAAATTTCGGGGACAAAGGATCTACAACTAAATTTTTGAACTGAAGCTTGGCTTAGAGAGATGTGAGACTACTATCTTTAGAATTATGTAGCTTGAAAACTTTGACCACAATTTCTTAAAAAAAAAATTTTAAAAAAAATTCTTCAATATTTTTCTAATAATCTCTAATATATCTTTCACCATAAAATATTCTAACTTAGTATCTCTTATACCCATTAATTATTTACTTGTTCTTTCTATGAAAAATATTAGCAGTTTTTTATGACCAATTTCGCATATATTTTATTACCAATTTTGAAATTTATAGCCTGATTTGCAATTATATTATCAAAGCGACCATTATATTTTATGAGCGAATCTTCCAATTTGTAGAGAGAGAGAGAAAGAGAGAGTGAGAACAAAAAGTTGAAATCAATTCAAAGGCATGCCAGACATTTTATTGGCTCATCAAACTATGGAATTTTTATTGTGCGTCTACTCGTATTGGAAATAATTAATGAGCCAAAGGATGAACGAACTCATTTCTTGTGATTGTAGTAAAGGCTGATGACCCTGGTCATCGGCTGGCGGTAAGCAAAAATAGCGAAAACTCTGCATAAAAAAAGCTTCAAAAACGCTAAAGTGACTTTTGACCGATCCCTACCTCCAACTTGTATAGCCTTAATGCTGTTCCAACAAATGGAATGATCTTACAATTTATCCCCATTCCCTTCTGTGAGGCTGACGGATTTTAAGAGAAGTCTTTATTTCCTGTCATAATTATATTCGCAGCGGCTGACATTCCCTGTCAAGGGGAGACAGCAAAATTTGTCTTTACTATGATTCAGGATGTTTGGACGGAGTTTAAACACATGACCATCCGCAAGTACTCTTAAACACTTGGCTACTGCAGCAATGAGAACTATTCATCCGCTACGGAGGATCTATGGAGGATATTTGGATGAGCAGCGAGGAGGTGCTTCAAGGCGATTGGTACCAAAACTTCCAATAAAATCAGTTGTAGTTCAAAAGTGACGTAAGGTGGGGGTATGAAGAAATTTTTCTTATTGAAAATAGGCGAGATCAAATACTCATAAATGTCGGCAGAGCATTTTGACTAAGACGAGTTTACGAAAAAATATAGTTTTGGAAGCCCGACATACTCGTTAAGGTGCTAACGACGACAGTTTTCTGTGATCTAAATGAGATTGTGGGTGCTTTTAGAGGTGAGATTAGCACTTTCTCTAATGTAAACCAGAGGCCACTCCTTCAAGTTAAACTCTCACAGAGAGGGAGTTACAAGGGTAATCACATGAAGCCACCACATAGCCGGAGATAAAAGAAGTTGCCAAGAGAAGCTAAAATCCTTAATTCGGTGTAACTGATTATTTGGAAGAGCTTTTGGAAACTAGCTCGCCATACTTTGGGGCGCTCATGTCATCTTCGATAGAGTCTCCAAATAGCCACACCCACAAGAGGAAAAGTAGTATCTGCCAACGGAGGCGAGTTATAATGTCTTAAACCTCTGTTTACTCTAGTTTGAAGACACTAGAGGTCTTGCTGTTTCCCATCAGTCTCCGGAGAATTGCGTAGTGTCAACTTTTTCACATTTTTCTCGGACTTAAGGATATGGGAAAGAGCTTTAACCACAAGCATCTTGTCAACTCTCCAAATTAGTTTAGAAGACTTGTTTGTTACATAAAACACGCCCGGCTTTCCTTGGCTTTATTTGAAGACTACTCCCTATTATAAACATGCGGTCTTCTTTGGGCTGCAGAATGTACGACACCCTGGCTTAACTCCAAGTAACCTAATTTAATGTACTTAGCTTAGTTCGAAATAATCTATGCCCCACCACCATAATGCTTGTCCCCACCACAGTCATCCATTGTTTAGTTGGAAGAAAATTCGTCACTTCTTTGTAGAATAGCTGAGTATTCGTTTTGCCTTAACTACAGTTTACTCTGATCTTCACTACGTTGATCTTCTACTCACCTCTTGAAATGATTTACTGTAGTTGTAAAACTGATCGCTGGGACATTTCTCAACTTCGCTTTTACTACGACCAAAGCGACCGCTAAAGCGAAAAGTCTTCGGCGAGAGACGCAGTTTAGGAAACGAGTCACCGCGTTCCGATTTGCGGGGTTTGGCGTGAGATTGTGCTGCTGCCGCCGGTTGTACGCGTTCGCTGCCAGTAAGAGACGCACTGCTCGGACCATCCAAACTGGCATTACTCTCAGCGCTGCCGCTGCCACCCAACAGTGAGGTTAAGGCTGGTGAAGGATTACTATTTTCAGATTTACTATTCGCCGCTATTGCTGGTGGATAAGTAGCCGCAGCCGTCAGTGGTGGTGGTGAGGTGGTGCCTTGATTATTGATGAGTGCAGTAAAATTCTCCGCTTCATTCGATTGTTGATACACATCGGTGCGATAGATAACGCGTACGCTCATTTTGACTGAGGCGCGTCTGTGAAATTTTTCATCCGTTTTATCGGCTGTTGTGGGGGGAGAAAAAGAGAGAGAGAGAGAGAGTGAGAAAGAAAATAGAGAAAATAAAATAAGATAATTGTGTCGTTAAGAATAATCGATAAATGCAAATAAATCAATCACTATATTACAAATTGCGTTGAAGCGAGAAGGAGAGGGTAGAGGGGCCTCTCACATTGACATTTAAAAACCGAAAAAATTGCTTGCTAAAAGGTGCCAATGCGTGCAGCTAATGAGCCATTCAAACTGCTTTTAGCATTTAAAGCGGTATTAAGCGGATAACGGTTACACAATTTGTATGCTACACCAAGCGCGTACAAGAGTGTGCTCAGCGAAAGGAGCGGGATTGGGCTATTGAAGCCAAGGAGGGCACACCCTTCTTTCCGTATTGCGTACGCACATTTTACGACTTATCTTTGTAACTTTGCCCCAGTTTTATTTATTTTTTATTTCTTTGTTTTTGTCCTTGCCTATGTTAGCCTGGTTTCGCTAAATTGCCGGTGTGTCCTTTAAACTGACCCTCGGCCAGGTGTAGTCGTTATATATATGACGCTTGTGATGGGTACGGCCTTCGGTTTGCTCTTTTTGTAGTATGTAGGTATGTTTGTAGGTGCTTTAAAGAATAATTGCTCGAAATACGCCAGGAGAGTTTTATTTAATTTAAATTAATTTTATATAATAATATAATATTTTATATAAATATTTTTTATTTGTAAATTTAATTTATTATAATTAATTTAATTTAATTTTATTTCATTTAATTTTATTAAAAAATATTAATTTAACTCAATTTATGTTTAGCTTATGATAATTTTTTTGGTTTAATTTAATTTAATTATAGTTAAAATTATTTTTTTTTGTTTAACTTTATATATAATTTGTTAATTTTATTGTAAATAATTTAATTGAAATGAATTTAACTTCATAATTCTTGACTTAACTACTGTATTAAAATTTGACCAATTAACTTTTATATCTGACCATGATCTCATTTTCTGCTGTTTGGACATAAATATCGATCGTTGTTGCATAAATAAGACTATCTCTTTTAGGGATTTCCGCTTTGTCAACACAAATTTACTTCTTTCGGAATTGTATTGTGTAGACTGGAGCGAATGTTGGATATATCCATCTACCGATGAAAAACTTGATTTCTTAATGGGAATTTTAAAGTCAGCCTTCGAGAGACATGTCCCTATTCGTACCATCACTAATAAGTCTATGTCCTGTCCATGGTTTACCTCAAAATCTCTGAAATCAATTAAGTTACGAAATAAACTTCATTCCATATGGAAAAAGAAACCCACGTTGGAAAATTGGAATGCCTTTAAATCGGCTCGAAACAGAGCGACGCTTGTTATCAGAAATGAAAAACGAGCTTATTTTAACAAGAAACTAAATTCTGGTCTCTCAACAAAGGTTCTATGCCGTAACATTAAACGACTTGGTGTTCATTGTAAGGAGAATGTCGAATGTTCCTTAGAAGCAAATGTGGTTAATGATGCTTTTCTTCTAAATTGTGTACCACACAGTGACACTATTAACTTTATGTCCAGGGATGATCTCTTGTTTAGGGATGACTGTTTTCTATTTTCAGCTGTTAGTGAATATGATGTTGCAATGAGTATATTTAAAATCTCATCCAATGCAATAGGGCATGATGGTTNATATATGCATTTTAAAGGCCAAATTTCAAACATAGACTGACCATTCAATAATTGTGTAAGTTTTTGTCATACTCAACTCATTATATATTATAATTATTTTAATTTTTATTATTATTTTTGTTAAAGTATCTGTAAAGTAATATTTACTAATTCTTCACACTATCTCTGTTGTACTAAAAAAGATATGGAAATCTGATTGTACTAATGCTTTGTTATTATTATTAAATAAATAAAAAAATTAATTTGATTTTATTTGTTTTATTTTTTTGTTTATTTTTATTATTTTATTTATTTCATATTAATATACGAGTATTATGTTTTATTTTAATTTAATTTGATTTGATTTAACTTTTCTTTCGTATTTTTATTTTAATTTAGTTTAAATCTTTATAATTTGATTAAGTTTATATAAACTATTTTTATTTAACTTGATTGAAATTTAATTTGCTTAGCTTAATTTTATTTAAAAAATTTATTTAAATAAATTTAATTTAGATTTATTTATTTTAACTTAAATTTACCGTATTTATGTTATTTTAACTTATTATATATTATATTATTATAAAATGTATATTAGATTAATTTAATTTACTTTTGTTTATTTTATTTAATTTAAATAATTTTCAATTTGCTCCTTTTATTTTTATTAATTAGTTATTATGTTTTATTTAATTTCATTATAATTTATTGACTCATCTTCCATTTCATTATTTCGAATTGATTTATTTTTTTTTATTTAATTTTTTTAATTTAAGTTATTTTACTTCTTATATATATTCTACCTACAAAAACAACAATCTTATCCCAACCGACACAAGGAAGTGCATAAATTACAATACGAAATTGACAACAAAATGACAGCGGAATGACGTGAGTATCACACCTCCTGCACGAAGATATGTATGTATATGTTGGTAGTTATGAATATATGAATATATCTCCGTAGCGCAAATTGATTGGAAAACCTTCATGTTTCCGTGATGAAAAATATTCAATTTCCGGTTAAAAAAATGCACGAAGGAATAAATAAAACATTGTATAGAAATACGAATATGTAAGCGCACATGGCTAAAGTCCACAGGAACGTCATAAGAAATAAGGAATAAAAATAGTACTTTAATTTCCCGACCCTCGTAAATATATCTTAATTTATTCCTTTATCTAATGGCTAGATATTTTCGAGGGCAGTCGAGGTTCGATAAAGATATAGTCTCCTCTATCTCAATAAATATATTCTTATATAAGCATACTCACCGATAAAACATCGCACATCATAACTGGTGCCGATCGGTGAGCCATGGTAACGTTTTGCTGGCACTAATTGTACACTCGGTGGAGCTTGTGGGGTTAAGGTGAGTGTGAATGGATGGGCGCCATCACCAAGGCGCTTCACCAATGCTTCCTGTATGGTGAAATGAAAGAAAAAAGAATTTTAAAAATACGAAGAATCTTTACAGTAAAAAAATTAAAGTAAATATAATAAAATAAAATAAAATAAAAAAAAAATAAAATAAACTAAAATAAAATAAAAAAAAATAAAATAAAATAAAATAAAATAAAATAAAATAAATTAAAATAAAATAAAATAAAATAAAATAAAATAAAATAAAATAAAATAAAATAAAATAAAATAAAATAAAATAAAATAAATTAAAATAAAATAAAATAAAATAATTAAAGTAAAATAAAATTAAATGAAATAAATTAAAGTAAAATACTACAGAATAAAACAAACTTAAATAAAATAAAAAAATATAAAAATATTAAATAAATTAAAATGGAGCCAAATAATATATAAAATGAATGAAAGTAAAAAATAAAAAAAAAATTAATTATCACAATAATATACAAATTTCTTATGCATATATTTCAATTTCTACAATTTTAATGCTATCTGCACTCGTAAATAATGTATATTTTCTGCACTTAAAGCCATATCCTTGCCCAATTAATTATTTATCAGTCACCAGGTTCTCGGCATATACCTACATACATAATTACCTGAGACACGCCATTATTTGCGAACTGCCTCACATTTCCACTTATTCTCAAGCTCTCTAAATATTCATAATTTCACTCAACTCATACAATCAAAGCCACTTTTCATACGCACACTCAATCCCAGGAGAATAACCTTGTCTGCAATTGCCTGCCTCAAAGCTCATCCATCAGTTTGCTGTTGTTGTGGCGGATATTTCAATGACACTTAACGGCAGAAATCAAAAGTTGGATTTGTACAAATGTACAAATGACAATTCCTAACTAATTAACAAAGTATTATATATCTATTTTATAATGAAGCCATGTAGTCATGTAATTATTAGATGACGAATAATTCGCAATCATTTATACAAACTCTTTATACCGGCTCAATTGTTAGTGTAGCCACCTACAGCCTGTCGCTACAAAATACTGACTGAAAATCCCACCAAAATTTATATCTTAGGACTATTCTTGTGCTTCATAGATATTCTTGTTGTTGTTGTCTCATTATGGAAAGCAATTTCAAAGTCTCTCGCTTACTGCACTCCCTTGCTCATGAGTAAATAATTTAGTTAATAAATTTTCAGTATGAAATTATGTCATTTCTTTGCCCACTAACGAAGGTAGTGGGAAATTAATATTTCTGGAAATTTCTAAAATTAATTGGAAGAAAAATTATACGAACAATCATCGCCTGTGGTACCGGATTTCAGCACAAGAAAACTCACTGAGCCCAATGGTAAGCTCCGGACCGAAAGGATCACCACCAGTTCGTTTATGCTGTGAAAAACGGTCGGCAGAACCAAGCACCGATTCGGACAACATTGGTTTCAATAAACGCGCCATTAGTTCTACATTCTTCGGACTGGATATGGAGTCGAGGCGTAGGGGTTTGGTAATGAACAAGGACAAAGCGAAATATGTATCTCCTGTCAGGAGGACCTGGTCTATGTGATTTCGCAAGAAAAAGTAGATTCATGATTTTTCATAATTCAAAAAGCGGGAGACCAACATTGCAAAATCGTGCAGAACAATAGAAGATGTCTTCTCATGAAATCCAAACGATATGAAATATTGTTGAATCTGCTAGTCGGTCGTCATATTGAAATCTCTAATTACTTTTTAATACAAAAACATTTACATTATTGAAGTTATTTATTCATACAAATTTAAAAAAAAAAACAAGAAAAGGAAATTTTTTATACATAAAATCCTTTAGCAGTTTAGAAGTGTCTGTGCGTCTTATAGCGTCTTTAGTATGGTAGCTTACTTATTTTTCCTTTTACTCACCTGCAACGGACTGAGTGACTCCAGCGCTGGCTCCTCATTCCTTGGCCACACTTGATGTAGCGACATGATCGCCTCATTACAGAAACGTAAACCCATAACCTCTTCATCTTCACGACCATAACTGGTAGTTAGCGAGTGAAAATATGTAAAAAGGAGAAAGTATGATTAATTTCTGTAGGAATTCATTGCAAATGATTTAGAGAATGTAGAAGAACTTAAAAAAGGTAGTTTGAAAATAATTATATATTTTTCTTAACCCATACTCACCGAAATGTCAACGTCAATTGAGCATAAACTCTATATCCTTGTATAGCCTTTGGATCCACATAGATAATGCCACGCAATATGGCCGGACTATTGCCGGAGAGTGTGATCTCACGTGAGGGCAAGTAGAGAGTGAGTACACAATTTGGTGAAGTCTTTTTGTAAACTTTTTGGGTGCCGTACTCGTCTTTATAGCTGTGCCTGAGAGAGAAGGTGAAGAGAAGGAGAGAGAAAAATGTTTTTGAAATTAAAACTTAAATTTTAACTTTTATTTTAATATATAATTTAATTATAATTATAATAAATTTTTTTTTTTTTTAATTTAATTTTAATTTGAATTTGGATTTGAATTTGAATTTGAATTTAAGTTAATTTAACTCTTTAAATTAAAATTTTAACTTATATATAAATTATGTTTCAAAATATAGAATAAAAGTGTGTACAAATACTACTATATATTATATATGTTAAATTTTATGTAGGTATGTGTGTACAATGAAGCAACAATCAGTTAATGAAAATTGTGCGAAGGTAAACACAAAGCGACAGCGCCGTTCAGCCACACGCAAAAAGCAGACAGCCCTGGGAATACATTTAATTGGGCTGTGGCAGCCAGCTTGTGTGTTTATATGTATAACAACAAAACAAACAATAAGTTTTGCTAACTAGCAACAGTGTAACTATTTCTTTTTGGCAATTTTTACGCCAAAATGTGGGCGTATCGACGCTTCTTGAGCAAATATTGTTGAAATTGTACGAAATTTTGTCATTTTTGTTGTTGATTTGGTAAAAAACTATCGCCTATGTTGTCGCCTTCTGAGAGTGAAACTATAACTACAGACACTATTTCAATAGCTCGTACGCAAGTAATACGAAGTGTTTGTATGTTAAGTTGTGTATACTTTGGTAGTAAATTACATGCTAATCGTATTTGTCCGATAAATTTTCCAAACAATTTAAAGTTCATTCACTTTCCTAAGTATTTTTGTTGTGTCTATAAATTATGGAAATCATGTGCAAATATATATTGTCATAATTGTTGGAGGTAAAAATTTTTTGAATACAATAAAAATTCAGAAGATAATAAGAATTTAAACGGTTCCCTTTAAACTCTTGTTTTCTCACTGATATGGAAATGTTACTTATACGACATGGTCGACGATATAAAGCCATGTAAAAAATAAAATAAATAAAAATATAAGTGAATATCGAAAAAAAAATTGTGAAAAATGATAAATTAAAAAAAAAAAAATTATTAAAACTAATAAATTTTTAAGATTGAACAAAAAAAAATTTACTAATTTTATACAAACTTTTAATTCAATAATTTTAACCCTCTAGCGACTGATGCCAATTTTGGTATAATAAATAATATAAAATTGTTGATAAGCCTCCGCAGAAGAAAACATTTAAATGAAATTCGCTTATTTTACCTTATTAAAAGCTAAAGTGAAGGAGAGTAGAGTATATGAACATTATTCAAAAGAAAAAATAATAATATTTATTATTATTATTATTTTTAAGAAATAATTTTTAAATGAAGAAAGTGAAGAAAAAATATTAAAAAAACATATTTCATATCGCCCTACATATTCTATGTATCTACTGGCACATTCAGTGTAGTCCTACAACTCCCCTCAAACACATAAGGCCACGCTGCAACACTAGCTATTGTGCATCGCAGCACATTGCCGTTATATACACAAAGCGCTGCAGTAAATACAAGCTAATTTCAGACCATTGCAATAAGCGCAATTAGTTGGCTCTTGGCACTCAACGACAACCAATGATTTGTGTAAACCACAGAACGGGGTTAATGAGTAATATTTTTGCCCAAACGCCTGCAAGTATACTATGAGTAATTAAAAAAACTACTCAAATAACTTGAGCATTGAGGTAATTGCGGTTTTTGAGTATTGTAGTTGCAGTAAATGGTCAAATACTTGAAACAAATTTGATTATATGATTACACCAATTGAGTTTGAGTTTATTTAGGTGAATAAATGAAGGAATTTCGATGATATAATAAAAATTTAATAAATGGAATTATAGTTATAGGTGATGGTAAAATGCAAATTCTGTTTATTTATGCAGTGTAAGGAACCAACTTCCATTACATGAATTTATGCATATTTATCCTCAGCCTGTGCTAGTACTCGAATGCCATTTAAGGCTTCTGCCGTACTTTCTCTCTCATGACGTTCAAAGCTTTTATGCTGGCGCGTTAATCAGATTATCACCACGCTTTGTTGTACATATATACGTTGGCAGTTTGGCATGCCAATACTAATTTATATTATTTTTATATGCAGATTCTTTGAAATACAAAAAGCAAATATTAGTTTCGAAAAGTTCTAAATATTCTAGAAGAAAAATAGAAAAATGCAATAAGTAATGCTATTTGAGTTAATTAAATTTTTTTTTCATAATATTTAAGTTTTTAGTTTTTTTAAATTTATTTTCCTTTGTTTACTTTTATTTATATATTTTATTTTATTTTATTTTTTAATTTATCAATTAATTCAATTTACTTTAATCTTAATGAGTTTTTATTCTATTCTTTTTAATTTTACGTTAAATTTTTTAATTTATTTTTTGTTTTAATTTCATTTTAATTTTGATTTATTTTGTTTTATTTTATTTAACTTTATTTTATTTTAATTGAATTTAATTTGGATTTGTTTTTCTTCGTTTTATTTTATTTGATTAATTTTCATGTCATTTTGCTCTATTTTATTTTGTTTATTTAATTTTATTTTTTATATTTTTTTTTCTATAAATTAATATAGTTAAATTTTATTTTATTTTGTTATAACTTTTTTTATTCTAGTTTGATTTATTTCATTTTATTTCAATTAATTTAAGCTAATATAATTTAATTTGATTTAATTTAATTTAAAATATTTTTATATATTTCACATTTATTTTACTTAATTTTATTTTATTTAATTTTGTTTCATTTCATTTTATTTTAATTTGTTTTGTATTATTTTATTTTTCTTATTTCATATTATTTTATTATCGTATATTTTATTTTATTTTGTTTTATATTTGTTTATTTAGTGTTATTTTATTTTAATTTTTTCTATTTTATATTATTTTATTTTGTTTATTTTAATTTATATTTTCTTTTTATTTGTTTTTCTTTAATTTAATAGATATAAGTAAATTTTATTTTATTTTTTTATTTTAACTTTATTTTATTTTATTTAAGTTTATTACATTTTATTTTGATTTTTGTTCGTTTGATTTATGTCTCTTTATTTATTTTAATATAATTTTTTTATTATACTATTTTTTATATATTATTTTCTTTTGTTTTTTTTTTATTTTGTCTTGTGTTATTTTATTTTATTTTATTTTTTTATAAGCTTTATTCAGTATTATTTTGTTATATGAACTATTTATTATCATTCTATTTCTCTCTTTTTCTTCCTGTTTTTTGATCTCTAAACATTCTATACCGCGCTTTCTCCTCTGTCTTTAATTGTAGTTTCACCCTCTTCTTTCTATGCCGCATACTTACGTGTATATCTATACATATGTTTGCTCAGCTTCTCTTTACTTTGTTTACATACTTTGTGGTCGGTGTTTGAGATTATTTTTTTTTGCCGGAATTTAATTGAAATTAATTGAGAGTAGTAATGTAATTAAAATGTGACTTAATTGTGTGTGTTGCTATTTGTGTGTGTTAGACAACTCAAAGATGGGTCCTTGAAAGCCTTGGACGTATACTTTTAAATATCAGAGCAGAGCACTTGCATGTTACTGCTAATGTAAGGCCTTGAATAATGAATCAACTTCGCTGAGGGAAATCTAATGAGATTGTTTGGAGCGGTGAGGATGTAGTGTGTGGCAAATGAAGGTCACTGGTGAATAGTAGAAAAAAGCTTTCAGGGGTAAATTAAAGGTAAACAAATGTGGCAAATGTTTACTTCATTGATGCTGATGTTTCATTTTAACAATTTATTCCACATGATGATGGTCATTGCCATTATGTTGTTCCATTTCTGTTTTGAAAAGTTTGTTTGACAAAAAATGCTATTGAAAATATAAATCTGTTTTTTTTTAATATCATAGATTTCATATTATAGTATTAGTTTCCTTAATTTTACATTTTTAAATTTTATTTAATTTAATTTTGCTCGACTTAATTTAATCTGAACTTAGTTTATTTTGTTATGTACGTCGTATAACATTTTATTATAAATCATTTTTAATAGTAATATTTTTTTTTGTTTTTTTTTTTTATTTAATTTGCTTGTTTAAGTATTTAAATTTTTTTTATTATTTGTCTTTAATTTCTATATGGTTTTTGTTTTTAATTTTTAATTTTATTTTATTTTGTCTTATTAATTTTTTTATTTAATTTTCTTTCCTATGTTACCTTATTTTATTTTATATTATTTAATTTAATTTAATTTAATTTTATTTTATTTTATTTTATTTTAATTTATTTTATTTTATTTTATTTTATTTTATTTTATTTTATTTTATTTTATTTTATTTAATTTAATTTAATTTAATTTAATTTAATTTAATTTAATTTAATTTAATTTTATTTTATTTAATTTTTTTAATTTTATTTCATTTTAACTAAATTTCACTTTCTTTTATTTAATTCTAATTAATTTTTATATTATTTAATTTAATTTACCTTAATTGATTTCAGTTTATATTATTAATTATTTGGATTTGTTTTATTTTGTTTCATTCTATTTTATTAAATTTTTTTATTTTTATATTTTTATTTTATTCGTTTAATTGTTTTTATTTAATTTTGTTTTGCATTTTATTTTGTTTTTCTTTACTTTATTTTATATTATTTTAGTTTATGTATTTTCTATTAATTAATTTAATTTAATTTAACTTACTTTTATTCCATGTTATCCTGTTCGATTTTATCTTATTTTTTGTTTTATTTGATATTTTGTTTTATTTTTATTTAATTTATTTTATTTCATGCTATTTTATTTGATCTTATTTAATTTTACTTTATATTATTTATTTATTTTTTTTTTAATTATGTTTAATTTTTATTTTATTTCGTTTAACTCTCTTTCATTTTTTTATTTAATTTTATTTAATTTAGTTTTTTTTTCAAATTTATTTTTTGGTTTGTTTTCTCCGATTCAACTCCAAATTCTGCGGGTAATTATTTTTAGCAATAAATTAAAAATTCTCACAAATACCCTCCCACC